AAGACATTTCTTGTTATACTCTACTTTTCTGACTAAAGCAGTTTATATATTTAATAAGAAAGGATTGGTACATACTTGTGATGTCACCTTATTGTCACAATTTGGTGCTTGTGTTACATCATTTTCATTACTTGACATATATGTTTCTGAGTAATCACAGTTACCACGTTTACTTGGGGATGCTTTGTAGACATAACTGAGATGTTATATATAACATTCACTAGGTGGCAGCATAAGTTATTTATACATTACAGAGCTACATTACACTCTTCATTCTTGATCTAATGCATGCCGGTTTTTCTAACAGAAAAGGTATAAGAATTAAATTTTATCTGCTTTCAACATTCAAACTTTGTAAGCCAGTTTTGGTATGAAAAATACTTTTCGTAATGCCATAGAATTACAGAAACATTTAAATAGGGCTGTTTGACCATTTATAGATTTAATAATTTTGAAACTCCTTATAAATGGGTGACAATGAATCAATTGCACTCTTCAATTTTGCTAGTCAGCAAAATCCTATTATATAATTGTGGCCAAAATAATATCATATCAATTATTTTCCTTTATGAGGTATAATGTCAAGGGATCAATAATGTAGACCATTTTTATAGTGATACAATGTGATAATTCTCGGAGATTTTTCAAGAGTGCATCTATTTACCATATGTGTTATTTTTACTTTACATGCTTGTACTGACCTACTGTCACTAGTTTAGTATTTTGGGTAACTGTTGATTACTGTGCTTTTATGCAGTCTCTGACAGTTAATATTTCTGGTATTTTATTACTTCTCAATGTACTATTATAGATGAAATAAATATATTTACTCAATGATGTATGATGTGTATGTTTTTATTGAGAAACAGAAAGAAACCAACAGTATTTTTAAAATTAAGACAAGTTTCAATTAAGTCTTGGAAAGGTTAATATGTGATGTCACTATGCAAGGGAGTTTTGATGTTTCTGAGAGTCTTCACTTTTAATATGTCTGTGACGTTACAGTGAAACGTATATAGGAGGTAATCTGTGACATATTGGAGAGGTCCCATTCTTTGGTGTGTTCCAGACTATCTAGCTAAATATAAATTAACTTTACATGATGTATTGTGTTAAAAAATATTCCTGTCGATTTCAAGTTGATATAAACATTATCAGGAAAGAATATAACACCAAAAGAAGCAATAAAAAAATCTTAGACCTGCATATTTTCCCCAGTATTCAAAGCTTTGTGATTGGATCATTACTTCACCAAATGAGAATTCTAGCTTGTTATTATGGTGACGATAAAACTACAAGCTACTGCTAAAACTACTCTCTTTACTGTATAGTAAGGTAGATAGATTAGAATCTATATAATTACATAA